CCCCCTCCCTCCCACACCAAGCCACATGCACTCGGCACTGGGAGGGTGCTTTTCCAGGGTTTTTTGAAAAAATCCTTTATTTGGAAAAAAAACAAAAGACATGTTTTTGACAGGTCTTTTATTTTTAACAAAAAATTGTAATCCAGCGTCAATCACGACGTCCAGCGTTGTCCACGACAATGATGACTTGATGAAATAAAAAATAAAACAATAAAAAATAAATGGAAATCATTCTTTTTTTAAAACCCGATGAGCGCCGTCCCGTCGCTGCGAAGAACACCCGCTGCATAATGACATTTTGACAGATGCCGGTAACATATAAACATTTGGGCAGAGCTAGCAGTGACAGCTAGCTCCGCCCAACTGTTTACAGTTGTAACAGTGTGAGCCATGATTGGGCAGAGTCATCATCACTTTGCCCAATCAAAGCTCTCACTGTTCTCTGTGCCCTGAGTTGGCTTTAGCCAATCAGGGCTCACAAAGCACAGTGCTTTGTGCGGGGTGCGCGGCTGGCGAACAGCCAACTGAACACCCTGACAGTTCGTGTGTTCGCCGAACACACGAACAGCTGATGTTCGAGTCGGCCTCACGTTCGGCTCGAACATCAAGCCCAACACTATTACTCGGCTGTAGATCCTCAAATAAAATCTGAATTTGTGCTGACACTGTCCTTCCTTCTGGAGGGTGGCTATTTCTGTTCCCCTATGTCCCTGTGTCTGTTGTAAGGCCCCTTTCACACAGGCTGATCACAGCAGTACAAAGCGGATGTCACAGCGGTGTCTATACAGTTTTCGCAGCTGTCTAATTTAGATGTCAGGCATCCCAACTCTCTCAGATGCTCCAGGTAGGGATGCACCGATACCAATACTAGTATTGATATCGGTGCTGATACTTGCCGAAATGCTCCGATGCCTAGCCCGATACTTCCTGTATCAGGAAGCAGGGCAGCGCATCATTACACGCTGCCCAGTATCCTGATTGATACATGCTCCCTCGTCACAAGTAGCAAGTGACGAGGGAGCATTTGAGCCAGCTTCCTGGCCAATCAGGAAGCCGGGCAGCGTGTAATGACTCGCTGCCCAGCTTTCTGATTGGTCGGGAAGCTGGCCAATCAAGAAGCCGGGCGCCGTGTAATGACGTGGCGCCCGGCTTTCTGATTGGCCGTGATGCCAGCTTCATGCTCCCTTGTCACCTCATTACTTGTCACATAGTGATGAGAAGCATGGGGACGGCTTCCCTGCTCATCTGGAAGCCGGGTGGCGAGTCTTTACACGTCGCCTGGCTTGCCGGCTTATCAGGAAGCCAGGTGGTGAGTCATTACACACTGCCTGGCTTCCTTAATGGGACTTCCAGTATCGAATGGGACTTCCGCTATCCGGTATTAGTTATTGGCGAGTACCAAAAAATATATATCGGTAGTCATACTCAATATCGAAATACTGGTATCGGTGCATCCCTAGTTCCGGGAGTCTCCCACCACAAGAGAAACATTTTATCCCGGAAAGGTTTACCCTGCTCTACTGTGGTTTTACTCCCCCTGCTTTCTGTTTTTATTTAATTTTTTATTTTGACAGCAGCCACCGTCCACCGTCAGACTAAAAAAAACAAAACAGATAGCATGGGAATGAATAGCTAGGCTGCTATTGGCTATTTTAATTTGCAATAGCCAATAGCAGGTTGGCTATTGCACCCGCCCACTGCAGCTGGCAATCAGCAGCAGTGAACTTGAAGTTCTCCTCATTGACAGCAGTAGTGGGCGGGTGCAATAGTCAGCCTGCTATTGGCTATTACAAATTGAAACTGTTTTTTGTTTTCTCAGTCTGACGTCGGCCGCTGTCAAAAAAATTATAATGAGAAGGGCACCTCCCTGAAATAAAGTTTTGCAGGTTGGGATGTAAGAGATGTAAACGGACATGTGTCCATTTACATCAGATTACCCCTGATCCGGTCTGGCAAAATGGATCTCTGATCCGTTTGTTTTTCCAGAACTGGCTGGAGTTGGGGGTTACCAGGTGTCCATTTACACAGAGCTGCCCATAAACTTACGTTGGGCATCTGATCGGGTCCACCTGAAAAACTGACAGGCGGACACGATCAGACTGCCCTTGTAAAAGGGACCTAGTCGCCACCGTTGCAAGCTCACTCCCGTGAAAGACTATAACTTCAATGCAAATTAGTAAAGTAAACGTGAGATTGTAGTGCATCATAGAAACGAGCTTAGAGCGGTGGCTAGTTACTTTACAACACACAGGGACCATGGGGAACACCGAGCTATGTGTAGAGGAGGAAGGAAGAAGGGAGGAGACAGGGAGGAGACAGGGAGGAGCTTCCCTGTCCCTCACTTGCTCATCACAGGTGAGGCATCGATGTCCTCAGTGGTTTTTTTTCTTTCTTTTTTTTGATTGGACAGCTTGGACCAATAGTGCTTTGTGATGGTCCAAACTATACACAGAGCTCCAGCCACTAACACAGAGTAGTTGGTGTTGCAGCTCTTGCCTCACTATGTTAAGTTGCACAGGCAGTGGGAAGCCCGCATTTTTAAGATTTAACTCCTGAGTTTAGTGATTTAGTAAACATCCTATGTAACTATCCTCACTTCATCAACATTGCATCAATTATTTAATAACTTTAGCAATTCACTGACTTATTTCATTTGTTGGAGCTCCTGCATTCAGTGTGATTTTTTTTTTTTTATAAAAGAACATCTAACATCTAAGAATAGTTAGATGTTCTTTTATAAAATCATTCACACTTAATAGTTACTATTCCGATCTTATTTTCTTTTACTCTAAAACTGGAAAAACCAGTGCATGGCCTACATTCATACGTGAGGATTGTCTGTGTTCCTCCCGTCTTGCTCTTGGTTAGTAAAATCACTATGACTCAGCAAACTTTGCTTTCTATAAAAACCTTTGGCACTAAGTCAGCTGGAGATACTACACTGGTAATTTCTGCCGACAGCACACCAGCAAGCAATAGTAAGTAACTCTTCACTTCTTTTGCCAGAACAGTCTTTGGCTGGTAGCTTTTCTTTTTTATGGTCAGGTAGCACTTTCATTTGCTATCATTTAAAGAATGTCAGTACAACAGTACAGAGAATAAACAGGAAATGGAGAGTTCACTGAGCAGATCGTGCACAGACAAATCCTTCAGAAAGACTATATTTTTTGAAGTTACAGACTCCTTTTAAAAAATGTGCTTGGTTTTAATGTAATCACTGCTGAAGCATTTAGCATTGTGGCTCTTGAAATGAAAGGTTGTTCATGCAACCTATATTTTGAGAAAAGAAACACCAATTGTGCAAATGTATTAGCAAAAACTAACGCCTAAAAAGTTATCCCTAAGATCCCCAAAAAACAACATTTTGGCAGAGATTCATTGTAAATATATAGAGCTGTATGAAGCAGCTTGGCTCAATAGTCAAACAGAAGTGTTACCTATAGTATAGTCTGTTTATGAGTTATAGGGGATGATATATTGTCTCCGCGCAGCGTATGCCATTTGCATGGCATTACCACCGCCAGAGGAAGCTAGAGGAGCACAGGAAATGCCTATGCTCCTCAGCACCATCTAGTCACTGTAATGCTGTACCAATGGCATTCACCCAGTCACACCAGCCCCTAAAAGTTGGTCTGATAGTCTACAATATTAAAGAACTCAGAACAAATCTAGGTAAAGACACATAGATAGATACACGCAAATATACATGCATGTCAAAATTGATGTGTGTTGAAGGACAGACTAAGCTGAGTTACCGACTGCACCAAAGGTAGGTGGGAGGGAGCAGAATGGCTGCAACAGGGACACCTTGGTGGTACATTGGTTGATAATTGGATGGTGTTTTTTTAGCATACCTACTTTAATTAAAGCATGTAGGAAAGCCTTTTTCCCTAATGATCAGCCAAGAAGTTGCATTTATCCCCAGCAGATGATGTATGACGTCTGAGTTGGCCAGTTGTAAAAACATTTCCCTGTATGTTACGAAACAAGTTGGCATGCTACAAAAAATGAACTGTCATCCATCGTGCCTCCAGTATGTCTGTGACCAAGATTATGCAAGTTATCTCCCGAGAGCTGCAAAAGGCTGAACTGATCATTGCTAACTCTAGCTAAAAGGCAGTCAGCCACCTTACAACAGGCAAAAAAATGAAAGTTTTCCAGGTTTCCCATTCATTAAAATTAATCAGGAAACCCCAAATCACACTGTCTCAAAACGGAGGCTGACTTAAGTTCTGATCCTGTTAACAATGTGCAGCAATTGGGACACTTTTGTCAAGTCAGTGACATTCCCCATACCGGGAAGCAAACATGCCTCCATAGACTCCTTAACAAAATATTTTGACAGTATTCTGTGTCAGGGCAGAAGCTTCAGTGCTCAGAGGAGAGTCACTAGGTAGCTGAGCCCCCCAAGGCCGTAGATCATTTTTTTTCTGGGGACACACACAAAGGTTTGAAAAAATATACCAGCCATATCCTTCCTAAAGCAACCCTTTACCTTAAGCAATACCGATTTTTGTTGTTTGACACCATATGGATAAAAAGCATGTTTTATAAAACACTTTTAATTGGTACCTACCCACTGCACATTTTCATGAGTATTTTCAAAACATACATAGTAAAAATATTCAGCAGGCTCCAAGTAAAAGTCTATTTAACCCCTTCACGACCAGCGACGTACAGTGTACGTCACTGGCATCCGGGCTGTTTAAACAGACTCCCGGCGGCTTTTGCTGCCGAGACTCTGTTTAAACTTGTAAAGCCGACTGTCGGTTTTACAGTAGAAGTGATTCTGGAGGCTCAGCTGCCGCCAGATCGCCGTGTTTCCCGGGCTCCGTTGCCCCCCCCTATGGGCCTGGGACCGGCTTCTTTGATGCTGGCGGGAAGCACCACCTTAAAGAGTACCTGTCACCACCATCTGCTATAACATGGGTGGGGCCATCTGCTATCACATACGGGGGCTTACAAGTCCCCCCGACTTGTAAGCCCCCGTATGTGATAGCAATTAAAGTAAAGTTTTAGAAAAAAAACAGTTTTTACAAATTAACATTAAATACAATAAATGTAAAAATAATGTAAAAATTTTTTTTAAAGTACCACGTCCCTGCGAGCATGCGCGTCTTCACGTAAACACGCGTCGGGTGTGACTACGTATGAAAACGACAAACGCACTACACATGTTTGGTATCGCCGTGCACGCCGGAGTGAAAGCAATAATTCTAGGGCCAGTATTTTTGGGTATCTCAAAAACGGATGACCTGTGGGGGCTTTTAAAGCGTTGTCTATGGACTTTTTGGGGTACTGAAATTTGTCACCGTTTCATGGACGCATGCAATTTTTAACCTGGGCATCTATTTACTCGTTGTAACCTCATCTTTTATATTTTATTTAAAAAAATTGTATTTTATTGTGTTTTGGGGCATTTAAGTTCATTTTTCACTAAATTTAGGGGTTTGATAAGGAGTTGCGCCAATATCGTGCAACATAAAAATTTGGAGCTGCCACCATTTTATATTATAGGGTCTTGGCTTTCAGAAAATATATAATGTTTGGGGGTTTTAAGTAATTTTCAGCCTAAAATGTGGAATATAACATGGGTGCAAAAAATTTAAAAAAGGCCTTAGTCATGACCAGCAATTCTGTATACAAATCTTGCAAGTTTATTTAAGAACAATTATGAGATGTAAGTAAAGTGAAGCAATGGTGACAGATTGTGCATAATTCTGAAGCACAACAGGGTACAAATACTTTACAGCAAATAACTACCTCCCCCAGTGTCCACCCAAAACTAAAATACCGTATATACTCGAGTATAAGCCGTCCCGAATATAAGCCGAGGTACCTAATTTTAGCAAAAAAAACTGGGAAAAAGTATTGACCCGAATATAAGCCGAGGGAGGGAAATGAGGCAGCTACTGGTAGATAGATACCAATAAAATGACATTAATATTTATTTAAAAGAAAAATAACCTAGCTCTGTAAGTGGAAAAGGGGGTACAGGGCTACATATCATGTACTACGGATCATTTAACCCATTCATATTAGCAGAGGATAATTGTAAATCTATTGTTCAGTGCACTCTATATGTAGTATATAGTACATGTACATATAGAGTGCCTGCAACAATACATTTACAATGATCCTCTGCTAACATGAATGGGTTAAATGATCCATAGTACAGGGCTACATACAGATCATTTAATACATTCATGTTAGTATAATTGTAAATGTATTGTCTGCACTGTATTAGCAGTATATACTCTATATAGAGTATATACTGCTAATACAGTGCAGACAATACATATATAATTGCTTAATTAATCTCTCTCTCTACCCCCCCCCCCCCCCTCCCCTCACTCACTGTGTGCCGGTGATCGGATCATCACATCACGGAGAGAGCAGGGACGAGTCAGCGGCGCGCTGGTCCAGTGGGAGGAGCTCCAGGTGGGGTCCTAATTTAGCTGGCTTAGAGGTGCCTGCCCGCTAAATTACAACCCCACCTGGAGCTCCTCTCGCCTGATCAGCGCGCCGCTGACTCATCCCTGCTCCCCTGCCTGACTGGCCGCTGCGGGGGGTTTTTTTTTCTTCTTACTTACCTCGCCGAGCGTCGCTGCTGCTCCGGTGTGCGGCGCTCCGAGCGGGGTCATCTGGCAGTCTCCGGCCACCTAAATTAGGACCCGGAGACTGCCAGATGACCCCGCACGGAGTGCCGCACACCGGAGCAGCAGTGACGCGACGCTCGGCGAGGTAAGTAAGATGACGCGCTGGCGCTGACTCGAGTATAAGCCGAGGGGGGCACTTTTCACCCAAAAAAATGGGCTGAAAATCTCGGCTTATACTCGAGTATATACGGTAGTTTTAGCTGGACCCATATCCGACCCTTACTTTTGCCCTCTTGTCACAATGTATGAAACAATGAGCATTCCATTTAACAAGTCCACCTTGTTGTAAGATATAGATAGCTATAGCTGCACAGTGCGCCCACACACATGAAGTCAGTCAGCCATCCAGTGGCGGAACTACCAGGGTCGCAGAGGTCGCGGCCACGACCGGGCCCTGGAGTTCCGCCACTTGGAGGGGGCCCAGAACAGGAGGAAGGGGCCCCTGGTAACCGCTGATTACCAGGATATTTATTATCCCGGTAACCGCTAATGTCAGTCCCGGGACCTCTTCCTCCTGTCCTGGGCCCTACATGCTTCACGCTGCTCCCCTCACCT